TGTAAAAATATTTTTATTATGCATATATCTTGTAGAAGTTAAATGACATTATTGCGTTAAAGTTGGCGTAATACCTCAATGAAAAAGAAAATGCCGATGAAGTGGCTTAGTAAAAGAGTCTTCACAGGTTAATTTGTCCAAAACTTTTAGAAAATCACTCCTATTTCTGTGGTGTCACTCGAAATGTCCTTTCAGTTACGAAAAATTTGGACCGTAGATAAGACTGGAACTTTAGATAATCTTAGGATAGTAGAAGATGGCCTTCCTCCACCACCACCTGGATTCCTTCGTATAAAAGTTTCATGCTGCGGTCTTAACTTTGCCGATATATTTTCAGTACTCGGGCTTTATTCTGCAACACCTAAGGGCGCATACGCCGGGGTTAGAATTTTCGGGTGTAGTTGAGTATGTCGGCGAGGGTCTGCGAAAAGAGGAATGGCTGGAAAAACGTGTTTATGGTGTGACTTATTTTGGAGGGTATGCCACTTATATCAATTTGAAGAGTTCCTACGTGAGAAAAACGCCGGACGGATGGACTGATCAACAAGCCTGTGCTTATGTGGTCAGATTTAATTTCTTCACTTGAAATTTCTAATTTGCGTGTCCTATTAATTAAGATATCTAGTCTAATATACTGTATAAATATTTACTAAGGTCCAGGGATTAACAGCCTTCTATGCGCTAGAAGAGCTCGGCCGACTTAAACCAAATCAGACCGTCTTGGTACATTCTGCGGCGGGTGGATGCGGCTTATCTGCGCTTTCAATATTGAACAAAAAATCAGCGAAAGTTGTTGGCACCGTAGGAGCATCGTTTAAATTAGATTTGCTAAATGAGAAATACGGCGAAAGTTCAAATTTTAGTTTCATTCTTCGTGATCCCTCCAAAAATTTTGAAGCACGAGCTAAAAAGGCATTGTTACAAATAACATCAGAAAAAGAGGAATTGTTTGATATTGTATTGGATAGTGTTATGGGAGATTGGTTTTTGCCAAACTATAATTTGTTGAAGAAAGAAGGCAGATTGGTACTGTACGGTTCAGCAAGCTTAGCCCCAAATAGTAATCTCCATCCTATATGGAATGCATTTCAATGGCTGGGATTAGGATGGAAATATATTTGGAGGCCCAAAATTGACCCGTTAAAACTTATGACAGATAATAAAGCGGTGAGTTTTCTATGATTTAGTTATTCATTTTTAAAAAAAAAATTTTTTTAACAGCTTTCTCAACTTCATTGCAGTTGCTTGGCTTCAATCTAATTCATATTTACGAACATGAGGAACGATTAGGTCAGATCTTCGATTCTCTCCATAATTTACAATTAGAACCTCCTTATGTTGGCCATGAGTTTGACTTTGGCCGTGCTGTCGAAGCATTAACTCTTATGCACTCTGGAAAAAGTGTCGGCAAGATAGTCCTTAATGTAAAGCATTAAAAATATATATATTTGTTACAGGGCAATTTGTTTTGAAGATTTTATTTTATTTTTCTCGTTGCATGCCATAATTTAATATATTGTATACGGCGTATAAAAGAAAATTTTCTATACTTTTAGTAAAATTAAAAAAAATCATATGTATTTTATTTACTATTGCTCATGAAATTATAGGTCACTCAATTTTTAAATCGTTTCTCTATTCTTAAAAAAATTTTTTATTAAATAATAATTATTGTTTTGTTATATAAAAGGAAGTGAATATGATTAATAATAAATTATTTGTTTTTTTAATTCACAGGCCAATATGACTTGTTTTATCTTATGTTTCCTTTACGATTTGAATTATTCTTTAACTATATAGATTATTGTCTATAGTTTATTACTATAAACCTTTTAAAATTTTATTTTGTAAATTAAAATCTTAATTATTTAAATCCTTTTTTGGTCTATTTATTTAACTTTTATACAGTGTACTCATAATATCATTTTGTCTTAAATTCTTTATATTCTTTTCTTTTAAATAGAAAGTTAATTCACTTTTTTTAAATATTTTTGATTTTATATTTAATCATTATTTTATATTATCAAAAAAACTCTTTTCGCTAATCCTCTGACCATACACAAAAAAGATGTTCGCAAGAAGTTTTAATACTTCTATGCTAATAAAGTCTTACTACTTTCTTTAAACCAATCCAAAAAGTTCTCTTAGAACTCTCTCACCATCCCTTCCCTCTTGTTTACAATCTCTTTTGAACAAATTGAACTCTTGTGACTTGCAAAGTTCAGCTACTACCTTTACTATCTACAGTAAGAAAGTTTCTAAAGGGAAAAGAATCAACAGTGAAGTACCTTCCACCTCTTAGTTATGGTGGAGATAACAGAGGTTAAAACCAGTCAAAGGACTTAATTTTTCACCCTTTGACTGATGTTGTGGCCTCTCAGAGCTATCTTTTTTATGGCCTTTTGGGAATTTTGCCTACCCCAGCTTGACCCTGAAATTTCAGATAGCACGGATCTCACTAACTCTGATTGATTGACACAAAACATGTTAAGCAAGATTGATAAACAAGCTCCTATTGGCCACCTCATGTGTTTAAATGCATTTCCTCAGCTCTATAAGAACCTGAGGTTTATCATAAATCATTTTGTCTGGTGCGGGTGAATACAAGACATAGTACTGACACATCATTGGATACAAGAAAGAGTCTGTCTGACCATGGTAAAGGTCACAAGACACTCGATTGATCTTTTTTCAAGTTAGAGTCGCCTACATCCTGATTGTATATCAGGTAGGTCCCAACCTCTACTACTCGGAAAGTCTAAATCAGAGAAAGTATGAAGCCATTAAGGATACTCAGTGGTAAAGCTTATGTGCAAAGTAATTCAAGAAGTTTTCATCCTATCTTCAAAAAATCCTGAGCTGGAAGACTAAAAGGTTAATACCATTACACCAATCAAAACTCAAGTCCAAAAATGTTAGCAGTGACATGTGAGCTGGCCGGAATGTCTGGAAGATCCTTGTTGATCATTAGTACCAACAGTCACTAGCAGGGTATGTCGACCGCAAGGCTAGGTGCTGTCCTTCATATAAGGAATTAAATCTGAAATAAGATATACAAATAGGTAAGTATATCCATATTTAGATAGGAATGGGTTTAATTATTCCCTTTCCATAAGCCTTAAAACTGTACAGTCTCCTCTTCGGCCTCTACCTTATTTCTATAAAAGACTCAGTAGAAGTTTTCCCTCAGACCTTTTCACGAGAGGAATTTGAACAAGACAGGCATATGCCAAGAAACAAAACTGATACATTTCACATGACTGTCTAATTTTTCTTTTATTTCTTTTATTTTTATTTATGACACCAGCTTACTTTAGGGATACTGGTTTTTCTTTGGAAAAAGAAAGGGCAATAAGCCTCGAAGTAGCTTTAGAATAACTTTAGCTTATCATTATTTTTATCTTCTCGAATATACATCCATGTATTTGTATTTTGCACAATATAAACTTGTAATTTGGGATCCAATAAAGTTAGGCATGAGCCCGGCAAAACAAAAAATAAGACAAATCTTGTATCATATGTATCACATGATCTAAAAATAAAACTGGAATAATATGATAGACAAGAACTATAGATTATATTCAAAGAAAAATATAACTATTAATTAAGGCCAATACTAATTTTTATTACAACTCTCAAATATCTCATATAGAAATAGATAAAGTAATAAAAGAAAATATCTTGACTTATTATTACTAAATAACTGAAACTCTATCCAATACTCAAGAAACTACCCAAGGAAATATTATGAAAATCCAAAGAAAACAAAAAAAGAGATTAGATCTGAAGTTGAAAAAATCAAGAAACTTCAAAATTAATAATAAAGTATTTGTTTATAATATATCTAATAAATACTTTACTAGAAAAATTAAACCAAAATAAAAAGAACCTTACTTTATATATGATAACTTGAAAAATGGAGCCTTTAAACTTAGGAATATGAATAAAAAAAAGTTTTGGCTACCTTTTTTAACTTGGCCTAAATAAAACCACATCTGAACTATAAAAATAAAAACTTATTGTATATATTGAAAACTAAAAGTAAGAATATATATTATAATAGAAATGATCCTTGAGCTCTTATCACTATTACAATTAGCTCCAAGGCTCTTAAAAATTACTGTATGATTTTAAGATTAAATACTTATAAGTTAACAAATAAAAATATGAAAAAAGAAAACAAAAGCCTCAAAGTTCAAGTAAGAAAAAGGTTTTATTCAAAGGAATAGGAATAGAAATATCCAACTGGATTAACATGATATCAAGCCTGATTACCCTTTACTACAAGTTTTGATTTTTCAACTTCAACACTTTAACCCTAGTTGAAGTAGAACTTATGAAGGACAACCACTCTACCTCTTCTTTCAACTAATGGATTTCTTCTTAAAGATCAACTTGGAACTGCTCATCAATATGTATTTGCTTTTTCAAATACTTGACCCTTTCCTAGAGAGTAATGACAATTGTCCACAAAAAATCTATTCTTCTTGATCAAGTGAATCTTTGTACCTTAGCAGCTCTGGTTTCTTTGAACATGTTGAAAAAAAATCTATAAAGAATTGGTCCTATCTAAGTGTTGCCATATTGTTCATTGTGTTTAGCTCTTGGATCTTTATTATGTTTTTGCAATTATCTATTAGTATTGTTACTATGAGTTTATCTGTTTATTCGTTTCTATAATTTCCTGAGTGACCCTTTATCTTAGTCCAGTTAATTTGTATGTTTTGTACTATTATAATTTCACAGATTGCATTGATCAGCCTTCTGTTTAGGCTTTCTTGTTTTGATGTTTTTGATTTCTTTTCATGAATACCATCTTTATTGCATTAATTGCTCCTTGGCTATCTGTAAAAATATTTACTATCTTATATAAACTTCTTATATAGATTGCTGTTTTTATTATTATAAGCTCTGCTCTCATGGAGAATGGGATGTCTTTTTGTTTTAACTTGGAATATTGCAACTTCTGGGTCTGTCTCCATTGAAGCTACTCATCCAATTCCCATTTTGCTGTCCTAGTAGTATCTTGTATATAAGTTATCTGATATATCTGTAGTTTGTTATGTAGTATAAGTTTTTGCGCTATTTGTTGAAGTTTATGAAATGTCCTAGTTGGGTCCTTAAGTTTTTTAAGGATTACGGCCTTTATATTTGATAGCAGGTTGAAGTGTATAGTTGAAAGAGTTATATTTGGGGTCATATATTAATTTTTCTTAAGGAGAACTCAATATTTTATGGAGAAGATTATAATCTGTTGATAAGAATTTCTTTGTATTGATTTTATATTGACTAGAAATACATCCATTTGTACTTTTCTGGACATTTATGTTGATTGACTTTGTCATGAATTGTGACATTATGCATTGTTGTTAATCTTTGTAATCTTTTCTAAGCTCTGGATTGTTAAAGGGATAGTCTTTACACTTGAACATTGAAGATGTCTATTTATTCTGGATATGTGGTTGGCTATTATACAGTATATTGATTATCACTAACTTTTTTCTTTTTTATTATTACTATTGTCTTGTTTTTTTTTTGTTGCTAACTATTTTATTAACTGTATTTGTTGAGAGAGTAGTACTGGCATATTGATTTAGAATCTGTTCATTATAGGTTTGCTGTTACTGTCATTTTCTGTGAATTCAATCTTTTTCTGATACTTTATTCTTATTATTCCTTGATAGATGCAATGTCTTTCAGTTCCTTGAACCAAAGTGGAGGTCTGTCTTGCTTCTCAAGTCTGGCTTTCATCTATTGCCATGACAAGTTTCTTGTTTTATTATCATTGAGTAGCTGGTCATAAAATAGGATTCCTCTGTGCCTGAGAGGGTTTTTATGTTTGTTATATTATTTCTTAGATACCATTTATTTGATTGCTTTGCCTTCATTCTTAATTGGTTTTTTGAACTATGTATATTCTATCAAGATAAGTGTGATTCCTTGAAGCTTTAGCATGTTAAGAATCTCATTCGTCAGCCTTCTCTTTTTTTTGATCTAGAAGGACAATTTAATTATTAGGATCGATATATTAGATCAATATTCATTCTAAATATATTGTAATCTAAACTGTGTGTTATACTACTTAAGTTATGACTGTTTAATCTGTTGTAGAGATTCTTTTTATACATAAGAATTTGTCTATCCCATAAATTGAATAGTTTGAACCAATTTCTTCATTAATAATACAGTGTGGAATTGTTGATAATAATTTAGTCTTGTGTTTGAAGACTTTATTAATTCTACTACTTATCTTGTTGCACTCTTTTTCTGAAAGAACCAGGTTATTTAGCAGGTATTCTAGTACTAGAAAAAGGATATAATTGATGATATATCGGGTTTGTTTGTCAGTTATCTTTTTTCATGTTATTATTTTGGTGATGGTATCAACTTTTCTTCTAATGATGTCCTTTTGATATGCTTTTATCCCATCTTTAAA